GATAGAAGGGAGACCCATAGTTTCCTGTGTTCCTGAGGAGACCTACTTCCCAATGCTTGCATACCTCATTATTCCATAACCCACCTCTGAGAGTAATAATAACTGGTACTAGTTAAAGTTCATTATGTACCCCTGTTCCGGAATGGAAACCGCCCCCCCCCCCCCCCCTACTAACTCCTTTAACCCTTCCACCATCCCTGTGAAGCAGGTTCCATTACTAAACAGAATTGGGATTCAAATTCAGGCTGTCTGGTTCCCCTTGTCCAGGCTCTGAACTACCCCAACCATCACATTATTCTATAATCAGAACTGATTATCCACCTCCCTAAAAGAGATTATCAAAACCAATTCCGTCATGAGTGCAGTTCTTTCAGATGATGGCTTTTAGGTATCATTCTTGCTCCTCAGTGGTGTTTCTGGTCCCCCAGCACCATGTTTCTCGTGCCAGTAGATTTTGTCACCTGCTGTGGCTTCTTATTGCAGTCATACCCCTCGTTCATTTTAGATTTTAGCCCCTTATGTAATGTCTTCTTTCTCCTAGTGTTAATCATTTCTTCTAGTCTCACTGTCCGCATAGATAATCCACATGATTATCATAATAATAGATAATTTGGCCTCCTCAATTCCTCGACCTCCTACCTCCAATAATCCTTCATCTTATTTTAGACTTTTTATTTATTGATAACTGAATCACCTCTCAGAGTTCAAGTTGAAGCATCCTGGTCTCTGGCCACCTCCACTTCTCTCTTCCCAGCTCATTCCCTCTTAATTTCTAAATCCCAACAATTGTGGCACAGCCGTCAGGACTGCAGCCCACTGAGGCTAAACTTCTTGGCCATCATCCTCACCATATCTTTGTTTTTCTTACCTTAGATTTCACGGTCTGTTATAACCATTCCTTTTTAGCTTGTCGTATTTTACCTTGAAAGCCGTCACTCAACTACTTTGTACCTAAATAGCCAGATGAGGCTGGAGGCAAACACAACTATTAAGACTAATTTCACTTTACTACTCATCTCCATGAGTCCTCAGTGCTGCTTGCTGTGTTAGTAATTCACTCTCCCACTCTCCTTCAGCTTTGAAAAACTATTCCTTTTCAGGTGATCCTGTTTATTATTTTACTAACGGAACAAAAGGAACAAAAAGAACTGTATACTTTTCTTTCAGCAAATCTAGAAACCTGAAAGAGCAATTTTAGTAGAATGGTTGAAACAGAAGCCAGCTTTTCAGGGATGAAAATATGAATCGGTCTCAAAGAGATGGACATTGTGTTTTCCCGGATGTGTCCCTGGAACACTGTCTCTGTTAAATGAATCTTGCCCGATACCAGGATTAGTGATTTCATAATTTTGAGAAATAACCGGAAACCGTATGTAGTATATGTATGGAAAGAAAGTTTCCATTTGCTGGCCTAGATTTTACTAACGCACCAGTTTGCAAACGTTGACCAATTTCACAGTCCCCCAAAGGGTTTGCTGAAACACACATTGCTGGGCACCACCTCTTGAGGTTCTGATTTCGTAGATCTTGAGTGGGTCCTGAAAGTTTGCATTACAAGTTCTTAGGTCACCTTGATGCTGCGGATCCAGGGACTTGGGAAATCCATTTTGAGAGCCGCTTGGCTTAGGTACAACTTAAGCTGACATGAGTGGCAGGTATGGCTAGGATCTTGAGCAATAATAGGAAATAGCTATTATGGGGTAACATAGTGAGAAGTAAGAACTAAAGATTTTTCCTGTCAGAGAGCAGGGACAGAACTGCAACAGTACAGAAGTTTGAATGATACCCACTGGCTGCTGCTGTCAGATGCCTGTAAAGGCTACCGCCAAGCACTTCATCTTTGCTTCGCATTCCCATGATGAATGAGTGCCAAGACAGTAACTCAGGGATGTGTCTTCAGCCCATCTCCTTTTTGTTTGTATGTTTATTTGTTCACTGTTTGTTTTCAGTTAAAAAAAGTTACATATGGGTGGCTCAGTCGGTTGAGCGTCCGACTTGATTTTGGCTTGAGTCATGATCTTGTGATTTGTGAGTTCCGAGCCCCACTTCAGGCCCTGTGCTCACTGCACAGAGCCTGCTTGGGGTTCTCTCTCTCTCTCTCTCTCTCTCTCTCTCTTTTTCTCTGCCCCTGCTCTGTGCTTGCGTGCGCTCTCTTTCTCTCTCTCAAAATAAATGAACTTAAAAAAAAAAGTTGTATATGATAGTTCTTAGGAATTTTTAGCACGCAAAGACTAAATGTCATGAAGTGTCCTGAACTAATTGTGTCAGTTACAGTTAATAATTCTTTGGCTTTGGGCAAATAATTACCATGTCTCTTGTTTTCTCATTTGGGACTTTTTGAGAGAAAAGAACTAGAAACTTCCAATCCCCCCTTTATAAATGTAATTGCAAAGCCACGGAATCTTTCAAAATTAAATTTTCAGAGAATCATCAGTCAGGTTTCTAAGGAGAGTCCCATGTGGTTCTTTTTAAGTTGCTAAATAGTCAGTGGGGAAACTGGCCCTGTACAGGGTTGACAGCATTTCTGGCAGTAAGTTGCATTACCATTTCTGGGTGTACTTCTTGGGCTTTGCCACTGTACTGCTTTGTGCCTTAGCCTGGGGCTCATGTGTGTCACCTACACTGCCTTAATGATGTTACAGTATCTGCACTGAGCCTGGAGTAGGAGGGAAAACAAGAAAAATTGTTTTGAAGCATGGTTGGGGTACGGAGAGAGGAAGAGGGCAAGTCCTTCTTCTGGTTCTTCTTTCTCTCTTTGCCATTTCAGTGAGCAGGTACGATTGAGAGGAATGCTGCTTTTTATTTATTCTCTGATTCCTCGAGTTTTGGGGGGCTTTTTGAAGCTGGATACTGTGTGCTTTTCACAGTGTCGTAATTGGTTAATTTTTAAAATGATACAAGTTTGGAAGCTTGTGGACTGGTTTCTTATAGCTTTACTGAGGAATAATTAATTACAATAATTTGGATATATTCAGAGTGTACAATTTTTATGAGTTTTGACCTATGTGAAACCATCACTATAGTAATAAGACAGCATACATTTTCATTATCCCGAAGAATTTTTTTGTGCCCGTTTGTAATGTTTGCACTAATCTGCTTTCTGTCACTATAGATAAAGTTGTACTTTGTAAAAGTTAAATGGGGGGGGGGGGTCATATAGTATGTACTTTGGAGGGGAATCTGACTTCTCCACATGTAGTTGCTTGTATCAATAGTTTATTCCTTTTCATTGCTGAAGAGTATCCTATTTGGATATTCTAAAATTGATCCATTCAACCTGTTGATGAACCCATTTGGGTTGTTTTCACTTTGGAGTTATTATCAGTAAAGCTGCTGTAAACATTGGTGTACAAATCTGAGTGTAGACAGGTTTTTTCTTTTTGTTGGGTAAATAACTTAGAAGGCATGGCTGGGTTATATGGTAGGTGTATATTTAACTTTTAGGTAACTGTAAACTGTCTTCCAGAGTGATTGTACCTTTTTAACCTTCTTGAGAGTTCCGGTTGTTCCAAACACATGATATGGTCTGTCTTTTTATTTTGGGCCTTTTAGTGGTATCTGTGGGTGCCTGTGTAGTAGGTCTCGGTGCTGATACTGGGCTGCTGTGTATATCTTTCATGAGGTGTCTGTTCATCTTCCCTGCCCACTCTTACTGGTTTTTTATAGTTGAGTTTTAAGAATTTTTAAATGTATTTTGGATTCAAGTTCCTTTAAGTTCCTATCACGTTAGATCACAAAATCTTAACACATTTTGCAAATAATTTTTATCAGTTTGGCTTCCCTTTTCATTTTTTGTTTTTAAGTCTTTTGAAGAGCAATAGTTTTGGGTTTTTTTTTTTTTTTTAAGATTTTTAAGTAATCTCTACACGTGACACGGGACTCGAACTCACAACCCCAAGATCGAGAGTCATATGCTCTACTGACTGAGCCATTGAGGTGCCCTGAAGAGCAAGTTTTATTTTTATTTATTTTAACTTATTTTTATTTTTTATTTTAGAGTGTGAGTGGGGTAGAGGGAGGGAGGGGGGAGGGAGAGAGAGAGAGAGAGAGAGAGAGAGAGAGGGAGAGGGAGAGAGAGAGAGAATATCTTAAGCATTAAGAATATCTAAGCACAGAGCCAGACTTGGGGCTTGATCCCAGGACCCTGGGATCATGGCCTGAGTCGAAATTGAGTTAGACACTCAACCGACTGAGCCACCCAGGCACCCCCAAGAAGAGTAGCTTTAAATTTTGAAGTCCATGTTATTAATTTTTTTCTTTATAGTTCTCTGCTCTTTGTGTTCTGTTTGAGTTCTGCATCATTTCATTTCTTTGATTTTTTCTAAAATGTTAAATATCTTAGATTCTTATTTTTTAGCCATTAGTGGGAAAAAGCATGGGAGGTACTTATAAAGCTAGAGTTGTATCTGCCTTGTGTTTTTGTTATTATTATTACTGTACTTTAAGCTCAAATTGTTTATGATTCTAGTACTTTTTATTTGTTTTTGTTGTTGTTGTAGATTTTTTTTTGTTTTTTGAGTAACCTCTTTATCCAACATGGGGCTCAAACTCACAACCCCAAGATCAAGAGTCACATGCTCTACCAACTGAGCCAGTCAAAGCGCCCCTATTTTGGTTGATTTTTAAATTTGTCAAAGATCCATGAAATTGCTCCTGGTCTGATTCCTCTGTTTTATGGGGTGAGGGAACTGAGGTTTATCAAGGTAACACAACTTTGCTCATGGCTTACAGTTTAAGATCATTCCAAGACCAAAAAGGCCCAGATCCATTCAAATCCCATTTCCCTATGAGGTATTATTCTTTATGATGCTGTTGCTAAGATTTTACTGCATACTGGAATATATTAAAATAAATTTAGTTCATTCTTTGTGGTAATATTCTCATTGAAAGCAGTGGTATTAAGTAGGTTAGCTTTTTGAAAGAATCATAATTTTCCCTTAAAATTTCATTAAGTGAAGATGTTGAATTTAACACTTTTGTTTTTTTAATTCTTTCCAAAGGTCTGTAAACAGATTTGGCTAGGATTATTTGATGATAGATCTTCAGCAATTCCAGACTTCAGGGATCCACAAAAAGTGAAAGAGTTCCTACAAGAAAAGTATGAAAAGAAAAGATGGTGAGTGAATAGTTTGTATTTAGAACAAAGGCTCCCAAAAATCACATTAATTATGGGTAAGATTAATCTGACATAAGGAAGGAAGAAAGGATGGAAAGAAAGAGATAGTTATATAGGAAATAAGGAAATAGGTATGTAGGTAGATAGATACTCCTTATATTTGGGCATTTTATTGGATTTGGTTTCGAAAAGCCTTGACTCTACTTAAGTCATCTGTGCCCAGCAGCAGCCGGTTCCTCGTTCCCAGGCCTCCTACCCTTTTTGGAAAGCGAAGGATCCTTCCTTCTAATCCTTCTCTAGCCCTGCTAGCTTCTCAAGACATTCTAGTTTCATATAGCCTCTTTTCTTAAAATCTTCATTCATTTTGCAAGTATTTATTTAGTATCTTTTATATACTAAGCAGTATGCTAAAGCTCTTGTGTAGTAATCCATCCACATAATTGCATTTTGTGGTAGGTCTTTGCCCAAAATATCCTCACTTCTCACCCAAGAAATGATTTTACTCCCTGGTTAAGAAGAGACCGTTTATGCTCCCCTAATTAAATCCATCAGATGTTAATTGTTAAAAAGAAGTTAAAACAGGTTGGACATATGGCTAGTACAGCCCTTTAAAAAGCATAGCAGGAAATGTGTCTGTAAAGCAGCTACTGTTCAACTACCTTGGACTCTTCATGTTTAGTTATATGAGCACAATTTAATTCAATTTATTAAGACCTGTTATTCGGTAGTGTATATTTCCTTCTTGGGGGCTTAAGAAAATAAAGGAGAGAGTCACAATAGAGGGAATAGATAAGGTGGAAGTGAATGGCTTAACCCCGGGAATACTGAAGGACTACTTGGCTGTGGGTTATAGGTGAGATATCTCCTCCTTCATTCAGTGAGCAGTAGAGAGAAGTTGCTTTAATTCGTTTCCTCTGCAAACTCTGTATTCTTAACTGTTCTCGAAAGGAGACTTCTTTTTGCCAGGCAGGATCAGCTGTAGCGCAGGCTACATTTAGCAGCACTAGGTAGTGTTAGGTATGAATGCAGATAAAAGCATGCTCGTAAAATTTTAGTTCAAGAAAGAAGAAAATCTTTGAGGGTGGGGTGATAGTAGAAACACAGTGGCATAAAGGATTCTCTTAAAATGAAGTATATAATTAACTTTCTGTCCTTTCAGTTCTTAATTTCCAAGACCTCGTATCCTATACTAAGACCTTTCTCCATACATAGCTATAGCCTAATTTTTTATTTTCCCAACAGTTTTACCAACTCTGCAAGTTAGTTTGAATAGAACTTAGCTAAGATTTTACATAGTTTATCTTCATTTAGCAAAAGAAAGTGTGTTTGAGTAAGAGTTGTTAGATTTAAAACCATAAATTTCCATCCCTTGCATTTATAATGATGATGATGGTCGTGATGATGATAAATTATTAATTCAAACTATAACTCAAATAACTGTAAACCTCAAATAATTACAATTTGTGTTATTTTTCTGTCCTGAGAAACAGGATAGTCATAGCAAGAATAATACAGTTACAAACTTGAATGCTCGGCATGTAGAGGGAGTGACCAGCATTCAGGTGGACCAGGTTCTGTGCATTTTAAGCACTTGCACATACCTGTGACATGTAACAAGAGAGCAGTGCAGTGGGTTTTTAACATGATATAAGCACTGTCCAAATGCAGTCTCCCTGCAAATCCTCAGTTCAGGCAACTGTATTTAAAACATTGAGACTATTGTTGTTGTAGATCTAAAGGGGTTTTGAGATTGTATGACCAGTTTTCAAACTCACTTCCTGTGCAATACAAGCTTCACTTCTTTACTTTTAGTCAGGTGAGTGTTTTGAACTAAATACAATTATCTGGTTTTATCCTTTGGTAAGACTTGACTGTGCTCAAAAATTGATCCCATCAGTGAATATACCAAGTTACGGCAAAGCAGTTGTATTGTTTGTCACTGTCGTATGATTGAAAATAGCTAACACTTGTGTAGCTAATACATGTGTACCAGGAACTGTTGTAAGTACTTGAAAAATAAATGTTAACTCAGTTATACCTCATAGCAACCATGTCTCCATTTTATAGATGAAAACTTGGAGGCACAAAGGGTTGGGGTAGTTTGCCCTAGGTTTCATAGCTAGGTTTCCAGGGGTAGAGCTGGAACTTTAACTCTGTCTCTAGAACACGTAGGTGCTCCTTAACCACTTTGTTTTCCTGTGTCCCCTAAGTGATCTTGGGGTAGTGTTGGGGAGAAGGGCGGGGTGGGACAAAACCCAGAAATAGAACAAAAACTCTTACGTGATCCTAGCTCTAGAGATTAGTGTTGCCAGTGTTTGGGCATTATGTTCTTACTGCCTCTCTTTAGTTTTCTTCACTCTCTTCCTCCAGTAAATCCTGTACTTACGTGAATGAGATCAAACCTGAAAGACCCTAAAAGTCTTAGGGACTTCTTTCCTTGTCCAAACAGAGTGGCTATGCAGTATTCTGTTATACAGATGTTAGCATAATCTGCTGAATCTGTTGAATATTTCTCTCCTGATGAATGTTTGATATGTGGCCAGTTCTTTGAAATTATAAAGAGTGCTGTGATAACATGCATGTACATGTATCTGTGTGCACCTATCCAATTAATCCCTAAGGATGAGTTTCTGGAAGTTGTACTTCTGAGATACAACATACCTATTTCTGTATTTTAGCGGGCAGTAACAAAATTTAAAAATTTATGCTCAGAGCAAATGTGAATGATATATTAATTTGCATTTTTATTAGGTTGCAAGTGTTTTCATTTCTGTGTCCCCATTTGTGAATTGTTTCTGCTTATTTAGAAATTGAGTTGTTGATCTTGTTCTTCTGGATTTGTAATAGACCTTTGTATTTTAGACTACTAACTGTAATGTAATAGATGTTTTCTCTTTATTTTGCTCTCTTCCCAAATGTTATTCATGATCTTATACTTTAGTTTTTAAAAAGTAGAGTTTTAACTGTTCATCATGATTAACTATAGGCCCTCTGTTGTTAAAAAAGTTATTTATGATATATATCTTTTTAGAAAAATTATAAGTAAATAATTGAAACAAGTTTTGCACAGTCTGTATCAGCCTTTCTGAGTACTTCAATTAAGTGCAGTCTTAAGCTGTCAATTCTAAGAGGGTTTTGAAATAAGAGTAATGTCGACATAGTCTGACAAGAAATTAAAAGTAAGTTTATCATTTTTTAGTATTCCCTACAGTTTTCTTGGTTAAGTGCCTGTTGAATTTTTCATGTGTTTTAGGTATGTCCCTCCAGAACAAGCCAAGGTGGTGGCATCAGTTCATGCGTCTATTTCAGGGTCGTCTGCCAGTAGCACGAGCAGCACGCCTGAGGTCAAACCCCTGAAGTCTCTTTTAGGAGACTCAGCACCAGCACTGCACTTAAACAAGGGCACACCTAGTCAGGTGAGTGGTCTTCCATCTTTGCAGAGACTTCTGCTCCAGGAGGATTGAGTATCACGGACCTGAGAATTCTTTAGGACAGCAGCTTTATGTCCTAGTGGTCATATACAGTAAGCTAGTGGTTCAGATAGTGCATTCAGAGAGTCTTGGTTAAGTGGTTGGGATGTGCATATTTTTGCTCTTTTTGCTCTTGAGTTTCTTTGAATGCTCCACAGGTTTGCAAAGGTACACAGGAACACTGTTAATAGCTGTCTGTCCTATAGCTACATTTAGTGAAACAGGACTCTGGGGACCATCAGAGTTAGAACAGTATAGGCTCTGTGATGTCCTTTTACAAGAAAGGATTTCTTAAGTAGTAGAATTTTTCCCCTGCCTCATTGTGAAGCATGCTTATCATCGAAACACAGGTGGCTTGGCATTACATACCGTATCTTAAACTAAACAGGCTGAAGGCTTTTTAGAAGTTGGTGAAAAAGCTTGTGCTTCTGCACTTTGTGACAGTTTTCTGAGCTGTGACGGGTTTGTTGATCTGGCACGACAGAGTTTGTCCTACATAAGAATGGTTCTGAGGCACAGTACTGTTGGAATTAAAGTCCACCCCTTTTACTAATGCATACGAGGACATCTGGATAAAATTGCTCAGTTGTCACAAGAGGTTTGAGTGAAAGCTGAAGAGAAAGGCACTGTCCCCACATAGAAAGGATGTGTTCTGTGAAAGTCTTATTGTTGCTCTCCTAGCAGGATGTCTTGCTTGTGTTCTGAGGTGTAACAGCTGTTACAATACAGCATTTCTTTGTCTTTGGCTCTGTATTTAAAATTGAGAGATGATTTGGGAATAGATGTGGAAAATTTGTGCTTTTCAAAAAATACCAAGGTATTCAAAACTACAAATAAAAGATTATGTAATCTTTCAACTGCCTTTTAAGCTTGGTGAATTGGAAAGAGTGTTACAAAAATGTGGCAGATCTGACTGGAAGCTCTTTATCTTTAATGTGTGGTGTGCAGTCCCCTGTTGTAGGTCGCTCTCAAGGACAGCAGCAGGAAAAGAAGCAGTTTGACCTTTTAAGTGATCTTGGCTCAGACATCTTTGCTGCTCCAGCGCCTCAGTCAACGGCCACAGCCAATTTTGCTAACTTTGCACATTTCAACAGTCATGCCGGTAAGTGTTTGTTCTCGACAGCTTTTTGCCAGGCACATGTATTTAGCACCAAGAGACATCCATTCTTTTGAAAACTGAAATATCGGTAAATGTGTTCTGTTGAGGGTGTGGGTTCTTATGGCTGTTGAGCTGTCATATGTGACCGTGTAGCCGCGGCCTTTTTAATCCCAGAAGAGATTATACTTAATGCCACATACTGACGTGACCTCTTTCCAAAGAAAAATGAAAAGACTTCTCAATATTTTTTTTTTTACCCTTTTAATGTGGAGAATTGCAAATATTCAAACATGACAATATAACCCTCGTGTATTCATTGCTCATGGCTAATCTGGTTTCATTTCTCATTCTTCTCATTTCCTCCTCTTATACTATTTCGAAGCAATTTTAGACATAAGAGTTTATCCCTAAATATTTTGTATTTATAAAACAGAAGAACTTTGTTAAACATCACCATTGTAGTGATATCACTCCTTTAAATAGTAGCAGTAACAATAATTATTCATTAGTCACTACTTAGACTTTCTGTTCTACTTCAGACGGACACACACACACACACACACACACAGTTTACTCAAATCAGGTCTACATGCTACAGTTGTGAGCTACATCACTTACTCTGTGGGTACTTCCTCCATCCCATTTTTCTCCTCTGCAATTTATTTGTTAAGAAATCTGGTTATTTGTCCTGTGGAGTTTTTAGCAGTCTGAATTTGTTGATTGCACCACTGTGGGGTCCCTTAACAGGTTCCTCTGTCCTCCGTATTTTCTGTAAATTGATAGTTGGATCTAGATGCGTCATCCATCACAGGTTCTTTTCTTGAAGGGGGCAAGCCTGCCACTTAAGGTTTAAGCACGGAATACCAATCATTTCTGTCTCTATAATGTGAGCTGTTGATGCTCAGTGCCTGGATCCATTATGCAAAATGTTGATATTCTGAATTTATCATCCCTTCATTTATGAGTTGAAATATTTCTTTAAAACTCTTTGATTACCCATTGGTATAGTTAGTATAATATGTGTTAGTATAATATGTTAGTATAATAGAAAGTTAATATGTGATTGATTCTGGCCACATATCAGGATGAGTTGATTCCCTACCACATTTTAATGGTGATCTGTTTTTTTTTTCTTTCGTATCATTATGAATTCATAGATTTAACATTTGCTACATCTCAAATCTGTTGTCATTATCTTTATTTTTTAAATGTATGTTTATTGATTTTTGAGAGAGCACAGTGGGGGAGGGGCAGACAGAGAGATGGGGGGAGACACAGAATCTGAAGCAGGCTGCAGGCTCCAAGATGTCAGCACAGAGCCTGATGTGGGGCTTGAACTCACGAACCATTAGATCATGACCTGAGCTGAAGTTGGGTGATAAACCTACTGAGCCACTCAGGTGCCTGCCCCCATTATTATCTTTATTAATTCTCAAACTATCTCATCTTTAGAGCAGCAATATCTTTAGGTTGGCTGTAGCAGATATAACTTCTTTTTTACTCTCAGATTTAACATGTTTGTTACAGGGGCGCCTGGGTGGCTCAGTCGGTTAAGCGTCCGACTTCGGCTCAGGTCATGATCTCGCGGTCCGTGAGTTCAAGCTCCACGTTGGGCTCTGTGCTGACAGCTCAGAACCTGGAGCCTGTTTCAGATTCTGTGTCTCCCTCTCTCTCTGACCCTCCCCTGTTTATGCTCTGTCTCTTTCTCTCTCAAAAATAAAAAACGTTACAAAAAATTTTTTTAACATGTTTGTTACAAAGAGCTTAATGCACTTCACCAGAAATTAGAAATTATGGAGTTTTATTTTATGAATGAATGTAAAAACCTTGCAATTACTTAGGTAATATTTAAAAATTATTATTTAAGTATAGATGTAGTCATTGGTATCTCTAATTGTAATAGTAACTAATTGTAATGGACAGAGAAATGGCATAATGTAGTGAAAAGAATGGGCTTTGGAGTTAGAATGAGTCCTTATAGTTGTTTGTTTATGCTTTGTTCTACTTTTTTATAAGGTCTGGTGTAAATGATCTAAAAGCCTACATTGTATTTATATCAGAGATATGTATGAAATACCTTTTGGATGCCAGTAAGCTTTGATGTGTATGTCATAGAAAGTTTATCTAGTATGCATTTGTGAACGGTTGAGTAAGCATCAAACCAAATGCAGAGAGCACTAAAATTAAGAATTAGGTCACTTCGTAGCCATTTTATTTGACCATTTGAAACTTTCTTTATATTTTTGCATGTATGTATAGGGGTATTGGCTAATGTTTATTATTTCTTTGTCGCTGATTTTCTTAACTTTAATTATATAATCAAGAAAAACTCAAGACTATCTTTCTAAAACATGTATTTCACTATTTAATGCACATAGCAGAAACCAGTGCTTACAGAATTGGTTTCCTATTTGTATTTTTGAACTTATTTTACCTTCTTTTACTCACCTGTGAGACTGTGATGCTGTCCCTTCTTTTTCTTTCAATTTGAGGACTTGGTTTATAGTTGGATCATGATGGTATAAAGTGAATCATATATATATATATATGTATACACACACACACACACACACACACACACACACACACAATGTACTGTTTAAGATAGTTTGAAAAATTATGGAAAAGCTGCTCTTCGGCCACATTTCTTTCTAGCAAGCATTAAAGGAACTTTTTCTTTTAAATATTCGAGTATTTTCTAAGGGCGTACTGTGGAAGAAAATTACAGTGTAATTTATATATGTTTGTATGTTGCGTGTGTTTGATTTAAAAGGGGATTGTAGGGTGGAGAGAATCTCTTTCTTAGCAAAGATTATGCTGAGGAGGGTAAGAAGTCAGGAAGCTGAAGTTGTTGGGCCTGTGGTAGGTTTCCCTTCTCCTGTGTTAGCCGAGCAGCGAAACATCCAGGAAACCTGGAGAGACTCTTTCCCTTCACCTTCCAGGTGGGCAGCCAGGCTCCTCTGACCACACAGGAGTCTCAGCTCTCTGTTCCCACCTGTTGTTTTTGAATGCTGGCAAAAGGAGCTGGAGAACCAATGAATGTAGAGGGGACCTTCTGTAATTCATGAATAGTTTTCATTTATCTCAGTTTTACACTTGCTGAAATAGGATTTGAAATGACTGATAAGTAAGTACCAAGCTCTTTTGTACATTTTCAGCTTATTTCATGTTTCCCTTGTGTGTTTGTCTTTAAATGCAATTTGCGAATATTCACCATTCAGGGAATTAATGCTGTACTCTTCCTTGTAGACTTGTTAGCCAGGCGTGTTTATACGTGTCTACACTGCAGCTGCACGGACTACTTTGTACCATGATGGCACGCGTCCTTATCAGTAACTCCCTTGGAATCCTCTTTGAAAACAATAGCCATTATTTAATTGTAGAATATGTTAAAAAAGGAAAGAAAAGAAACCTATAATTTTATCAGATTGATACAGGAAGTAGATCTTAACAATTTTGTCTCTTTTCCACATGTGGTGGGTGGAGATGGTAGGAAAGATGAGTCTGTGAGGCTTTTACTAGTCCTGTCGATTAGATCAGGTTGCCTAAGAGGAGTTAGTTTTTTCAGCCTGAAGTTCTTATTTACGAATGCACACTCAAGTCAGCTTTTTTTCTTTTTTAAACTTCATTGGATTCAAGAAGAATAAAATATATACACATACTGCAAGAAGAAGCTAATAGAGTTAGTCACTTATCTCCTCTTTTTCCATTCTTTGTCTTTTTCTCCAGCCTTTGCAAGAACCCTGAATCTTTATTTTTCCGTGTATGGTTCACAAATACAAAGTCATTGACAGCTCAGTTCTCACCCTGAAATTTTCATGTTTTTTTTTTTTAAGAAGTTTTTTAGTGAGAATATTCTCCTGTACAGATTGATACGACAAATGGAACCTTTAATTTCAAATGATAATTATTTAGAAATGCCAATCTGGTTAGCATTATTTTGTAGGGAAACCTGTTATTTTGCAGATCATTTAATGGCTTAACAGCCAGAAGTCTTCACCCTTCATCTGAACATTCTGGCTGAGATGGTATGTGAGGATATGTATCAGTGGTGAGGTTATTACTGTGTTCAGGAAAAGTCATCTTCTACAGAAATATTTGTGCAGTTAGAAACATGATTAACCTGGGGCGCCTGGGTGGCGCAGTCGGTTAAGCGTCCGACTTCAGCCAGGTCACGATCTCGCGGTCCGTGAGTTTGAGCTCCGCGTCGGGCTCTGGGCTGATGGCTCAGAGCCTGGAGCCTGTTTCCGATTCTGTGTCTCCCTCTCTCTCTGCCCCTCCCCTGTTCATGCTCTGTCTCTCTCTGTCCCAAAAATAAATAAACGTTGAAAAAAAAAATTAAAAAAAAAAAAAGAAACATGATTAACCTACAGAATTTAATAGTTATTTTGCTTGGTAATAAACTCCACAGCCCTATGAACTGTAAACTGTAATTGATTTTTGTCACACCTTACTGGGGATCTCAAACTTTTAATTGTCTTGCCATCCAGTCAACACAAATGAGTAATATAACGCAGTGTGGAAGGAACCGTGTGCACGGGAAGGTGTCCTAATCTCCTGTTGCCACATGGTCAGTCAGGCTCAGGATTACTAGATTCACTGATTTTCTTTTAAGAAAAGCAGGAAATCTTGTTTATTTAATGTGAGATGTTGTCTTTTTAAATGTTGGGTTGATGAAAAAGAATTTAAACATGTAGGTGAAACGAAGTGTATTTGTCAGCTGAATTCATGATGAAGGCAGTCAGTTTCTATCTCTCATCCCTACGTTTATCTCCCTTTCTCAGGAGTACCTGTTTCTCACTGAAGAGGAAAGACAGTTCCCAGCTAGATTCAGGCTGATTAACTTGGTGCCTTAAATTCTAAACTGAGGTTACTTCTTTGTACTTTAAAAAAAATTTTTTTTTAATGTTTATTTATTTTTGAGAGAGAGAGACAGCATGCAAGCGGGGGAGGGGCAGAGAGAGAGAGGGAGACACAGAATCCCAAGCAGGCTCCAGGCTCTGAGCTGTCAGCACCAAGTCCTACCCGGGGCTCCAACTCAAGAGCCATGAGATCATGACCTGAGATGAAGTCAGATGCTTAACTGACTGAGCCACCCAGGAGCCCCACTTCTTTGTACTTTTTGAGATAAGATTATTTAAAAAGCATCTATTATTGTTTTGTCACATTCCGTTTAGTTGATCTTTCTTTGTGTGGTAGTTGCTTGAGGTGGTTCCAGACAGTAATTTTCACATTATTGAATTTATTAGTGTTTAATTTCCAAAGTTGTGGTTACTAAAGTTTCATTCCACGGTACTTAGAAATTTTAAAATTTACCATAACCAGTTGTTGAAGACACTGAATAGATTTAGTGTCTCCATATAAAGACTGAAAGAGGTATTACAAAGTCCTGTTTTGCTGTAATGAATAGATATTTGATTAATGGGTTTGGTGCTCTGGTTGGAAACACCAGTGTTTATAAATTTGATAAAAATAGACTTGACTAACAAAATGGATTACATTGACCTGATTTCTTAATGATGATGTTTGAAACACGTTAAATGCATATTTCTCCTGTAGTGTTCTAAATATGTTAAAAGTAGAATATATATTATTATAGGCTACTTATTCACTATCTTTGAGATTATAAGTGATAAAGCAGCTTAGGGACCCAACTCCTGTTTCTCCAAGGGATAGATGTATTTCATTTGTTCAAGTAAAATTTCAGCCTATAAGGAAATTGAATTTTATCATGGTAATAAGTAAAAACAATAACAAAAGATTTCAGAGTATCCAGAAAATACAGAATTTTTTGTGTTAAGCAGTAAGCAGCCTTTTAATTTAGATACGTCTGTGTGATGTTTGAGAGAGAGGACAAACGTCTTTAGAAAAGGTTTTCAACAGCGCGAGCAGTGATAGGTGTATGTAGGATAGCACTCCACCTGTCACAAGTGCTGGGTGTGAGGATGACACAGGGAGGGAGGTGTCACAGGTGTCTAGTAAAAGGAGGACTATCTAGTTCAGGTGCATTTCCCCCTATAGTCATATACCCTTTCGGATATACACAACATAGTAATTACATAAAATGCTGTTAGGTTTTTTTGATCATTTCCCTAGAGTAATGTTTTACTTCATTAGTGGAAAATTTGTTTAGTAATTTTTTTTTCGTTGATGTACAGTTAGAATACATATTCATTGCAAAAGCTTGGTAAACTATAACAAACAACTATAACAATAACAATAAACTATAACTATAGTAAACTATAACAATCTGAAAACTCACCACTACAAGTTAATGAAAATGCAGATTTTCTGTGCACATGATACCATGCTGACAAAATCGGCAGATGAAAATGTATTTGGCACTTTTTGGCCTGTTTATCTTGATATACTTCATCATAAGTATTTTTGAATAGGACTGTATCTTCTATGTTATTTTTTAAATGGCCGCATTATATTTCTTTGTATGATGTTTCATAATTTAAGCGATCCCTCATTGCTGGCCATTTGAGTTTTAAATTTGTTTTATTATTTTAAAACAAATCATTTAGCTATTAGATGCAGCCATACTCATTTGCAAGATTATTTCTTTATGAAAGCTTTTTGAAGTAGAATTGCCTGCAAAGGATTTAAAGTAGCTGACTTGTACTATGTTGATGGCATTTAACCTTTATCTTTTGGGCATGCTTTTCATTCTTACCACTTAGCATTCTCTTTCTTACATACCAACCACTTCTTATTATATTCTCTATAAAAATCTTAATTCAGCATCTATTGTAGCCTTTAAAAAAAAACAACCTTTTGAATTGTTGTATTTAGTTACATATTTTAAGTTTAGGGAAGCGTAAAAAATTGTTCTTAGGTTAATGACAAGTGGGAAATACCAGTTGGTCTTTTTCACTGAGTCTGAAGTACACTAATGTCACAAATTTTGCTATTTTCATTTCTCAAATTTTAATATGTATTAAAAAGAGAAGGCTCCCCCCCCCCCCCCCCGCCTTAAGAGAGCATGAGCAGGAGGGGGCAAAGGGAGAGGGAGAGAGAGAATCTTAAGCAGGCTCCATGTCTGACTCGGGAGACCAACTTGGGGCTTGATCTCACAACTATGAGATCATGACCTGAGGTGAGATCAGGAGTCAGATGTCACCCAGACTCCCCAGAACAGCAGCCTTCGAAGAGAATGTGACTATCTGTGATAAATTATTTGGCAGTCATGTCCTTGTTAAACATTTAAGTTTTTTCATTTTTACGTGCCATGATGTGAGATGGTTGTAAACTTAGGGGAAAAAACCCCAAAAAGAATATTAATGAAATTTAAACTTCTTTGTATCATTATTTTAGATTCACAAAGCTGATGAATCACTCACCACCATTTTAAATCTGAGTTTCCCAGAATGTAATCTATATCCTACATCTCAGTTTGCTTTACTGTAACTCATATATTTCATGCTCTTAGAGTTTCCTTTAGTAGAGTCACTTTTGCAGTACTATTCCGGAGGTCACTCAAAGGGTATTGTGTACAAATTTATTGTTGTACAAAGTGTTTTGGGAAATTTTTGGCTACCCTTTAATGAATTGTTTGGCATTGGGTTAAATCAGCACTGGCAGGATTTAAAATTGGATTCTGAATGAATTCTCTTTAAAGTGAGTTGTGAAACAGAAACTTCTCATAAGATTCTTAAATTCATTTGTCATATTTTTCATTTATAAGTTTCATATTCATTAACATATATTGTTCCTTACCATTTACAGCTCAGAACTCTGCAAATGCAGATTTTGCAAACTTTGGTGCATTTGGACAGTCTAGTGGCTCGAGTGATTTTGGAGGTTTCCCCACAGCAAGTCGCTCTCCTTTTCAGCCCCAAACTCCAGGTAGAGCTTCTCCGCGTCACGCGTAAACGTTTTGACATACAAAACTCTCTACACGTAGTTTAAAAAATTATTCTAAACTTAAATTCTATAATTATTTGATTTAAAAATAGTTCTATCTTACAAAGCTCTGGGGAAACCTGAAATCTTTATTTTTTTTTGTGTTCATCTGGTTTTTTGAACTCCTTGGTGTGTTGTCTAATTCACGGTGTCTGTTCTCTTCCTTTTCCTGCATATGAATCTTCCTTAAATTTCTTAGGCACAGGAGTGTTACAGTCCTCAAAATTTGTTAGGTTCACAGAACACATTGGTTTAGGCTGTGAGTAAAGGAAGCTAATTGATTGCTTCCATAGAAATAAAAACGTAAGTAATTTTCAGGGCAGCAAGCTTGAGACAATAAATATTGTCAGTCTATTAGTGAAGAGTAGATTATTTCACAGTCACTTTAATCAGACTTGGAAGTAGTTTTCTGTGCAGGAATTGGGCTTTGGACAGTGAGTACTCTCCCCTGAACTAAGTATTGTTTCCAGAATCCCGTTGAACCCTTGTTGAGATCTTTGGCTGATGACTTTTCTTTCAACTTTTAACTCTGTGTATTGTCTTATAAAGCCTTTTCTTTCACTTTTCTTTTTTTTTTTCTTCTTTAAATTCCATCATTTACATAATTTCTGGCTGTCCAGCATTTAGAATGCTTTCATCTAGCTGCAGTTTTGGTGAATTTACTTCAGCTTTTCCTCTCCAGGCTTCCAACAGTAAGTTGTGTTGTCAAGTAGGCATCTTTTACTGATTTGTATGTTTTATGCTCTTCCATGGATTTTTCGATTATAGAATGTTATTCATCTTTTAATAGTAATCATTCTGAAACTCTCATTTCTGTGTCTTCACTGTTACTAAGCTCAGACTTAGCACAATAGTGTACAGTAAAAGAGTTGATTTAATAGTTCAGTTTTTAATAATTTGAAATAAATTTCATCATAAAAATTGTGAAAGATTAGTATTGTGTACTATGTTCACCAGCTACTTGTAACAGACCACGGTCTTAAAATACCAGCACATACTACTTTTAATTGCAAAGGACTGGAGTTTATTCCTGGAAGAAATTTTATCCATATTTATTTTAGAGTGTCTGTAATCCACTGATTGATGGGAAAGTGTTTGTGTTCTCTTTTTTAAAATAGGGCTGTATTCTTTCTGCTTTTAAAATATCTGTTAATTGTGCTTTGCTGTTACTTTAATACATAGCTGTAATGTATATACTGTTTTCATTGCTGAAACTAATGTGTAGGTGTAAAGAACTAATACCAACAGTATAGCATCAAAAGCATAAAATGAAATATCCTGGCTTTAGTCTTTTGGTAGTGCTTTAGGAAAGTCTCTGGTAACCAGAACAGTCTTCAGAATCTTAGCAGGATGTACAATAGACCATTAGATGAATTATGATCTTATAAGTCTCAAAAGATTATATATTGTATGCTATAATTTTTATTCCTTGAACTATATAATAGAGTATGATTTTACTGATACTGTATATATATTACAATATTATTATGTGGAATTAAATATTAACTCTTCAAGTAAAATAAGTTCCAGAGCTCAAAGACCACTTTTTAAGAAATTGTGGATCAAAACAGTACATCTTAAACATTTTAAATCTCTGCTCTGGGATTTGTTGCCACCAGGTCTCCATTGGAGCTGTAAGAGCTTATAGCATAAAATACTTTGCATCTTGTCGATGGAAATCTGTTTAGGGAGAACTAGTAAAAGGTCATAGTAATATATATGTGAGAGAGAGAGAGTGTGTGTGTGTGTGTGTGTGTGTACACGTATATATGAATATTAACATATATACGTGTAATATGTATATATATGTATAATGTATTATATATATATATATATACACACATATATATATGTATATATGAATATTAAGGTAACTAAGTCTGAAACCCAGCAAGCATGGAGTTACTCCTCTGTGAATTATAGTCTTCACTTCAGGGTAGATAATTACACATAGAAATTTGTTACGCTCCATGTTGCCAGGATCTTTGAAAATCTAGTTCCCCAAATTACAGTCATATGTAAATAGAAGATTAAAGTTGAATACCATTTGCCAGTTGTTAATTCTAAGAATGTAAGATTGCTTATAGAACACTTAAGGAAGAAATGATCATATAATCTATCAAAGGATTTTGGGAAAAGTCTAGAAATTTCAAGTGTTCTGTTTATTCTGTTACAGGTGGAAGTGCTGGATCAGTAAATGCTAATTTTGCTCATTTTGATAACTTCCCCAAATCCTCCAGTGCTGATTTTGGAACCTTCAATACTTCCCAGAGTCATCAAACAGCATCAGCTGTTAGTAAAGTTTCAACGAACAAAGCTGGTTTGCAGACTACAGACAAATACGCAGCACTTGCTAATTTAGACAATATCTTTAGTGCTGGGCAAGGTATTAAGCTTTACACAAAATAAATACAAATTTGTAATAACATAGTCCTCTGAATTCGGTTGTGTTTATTGCAATTTAAGGTTGTTATGCTTGTTTTAGTTGTAAAGAAATTCTGTGTACACTAAATGTTCATGACCATTCGGCACATTTTTGATGTGAAATAATAATAGGCCTTTTGGAAGGCCTAGAAAACTAGGAACTATTTGTAAACTTCTAATTCTAAAAGAAAATAATTGACAAAATTTAATTTTGTCTTAGAAAGCATGCTTCACTGTTCTGAGGCTATAGAGGGCCAGCAAATCCAATTAATAATGCTGACTGGAGCGTTATTTGGTTGTTTTTTATAATATATTCATTTTGAGCTATTTTTACTATTAATATTTTGGTATTAAAAGCCATTCGTTTTACAGGATATTTTTATACCTGGTTTTGATCTTAAGGCCAGTATTTTGCCTCTCAGAATGCATAGTGTGGTAGGGAACAGTAGAGGTCTGCTTTTGGACTGGATTCTGCATCCGAATCTCTAGCTGTTTTCTCATCTCCAGTAGTAATAGGGCAGTAAGAGCATTGAGCTCATATGTATTATCACATCTAAGTCATTTAGAACAGTGCCTGGCACATAATAAGTGCTGTGTAAATGTTTCCTTGTACTACTGTCTCTAATTTTTTTCATGGAAAACCCTGGGAAGATGGTATTATTAATGGATTGTTCTCATTAGGTCTGGGATTTTAGAAATTTTTATGTTCACTTGAATGACACGCACCTGTTTTGGAGATGTTAATGTAGCACTTTGAGAATTTGCTCCTTATGCATAATTTAGACAATGGTACAGATTCTTTGCTTTTTGTTTTTAAGTTTATTTATTTTGAAAGAGAGTGCACGCAAGTGGGGGGCGGGGTAGAGAGAGAGGGAGATGGAGAATCCCCTAAGCAGGCTCCGCATTGTCGGTGTGGAGCCCAACGCAAGATGCAGGGCTTGAACTCACGAACTGTGAGATCATAACCTGAACTGAAATCAGCAGTTGGATGCTTAACTGACTGAGCCACCCAGGTGCTCCACCTTAGTTTTTGTTACAGAAACTGTATCCTGTCTTTACCACAGTGGTGTGTATAGCAATTAATCTTGTCTAATAGTTTGTAGATAGTTTATTAGATAAGACTACAGAATTCTTGTCTATTTATTCGCTTAGCATTAAAGTAGTTTTAAATTTACATGTTTCAGGGCACCTTGGTGGCTCAGTCGGTTAAATATCCCGACTCTTGATTGCGACTCAGGTCATGATCCCAGAGTCGTGGGATCCATGTGCAGCATGGAGCCTGCTTGAGATTCTCTCTCTCTCTCTCTCTCTCTCTCTCTCTCTCTCTCTCTCTCCCCCCCCTCCCTCCCCTCTGCCCCTCTCCCCCTCTCCCCTGCTCGTGTGCTCTCTCTCTAAAATTAAAAAATTTGAAAAATTAAATTTGCATGTGTTTCATGGCACATGTGGTTGGTAAATTGAAAGCATAATAACTAAGTTTTCGGTGTAATTGTTTTTGTTTGTTTATAGGTGGTGATCAGGGGAGTGGTTTTGGGACCACAGGTAAACCTCCTGTTGGTTCTGTGGTTTCAGTTCCCAGTCAGTCGAGTGCATCTTCAGACAAATACGCAGCCCTGGCAGAACTCGACAGCGTTTTCAGCTCCGCGGCCACGTCCAGTAACGCGTATACTTCCACAAGTAACGCTAGCAGGTACCTTGTCTTTGTCCGTGTTCCTGCCTCGTGTCTTCTCTTTTTTGTTTTTTAATTCAACGCTGAATAATGATGTTAAATAATGGCTGTTTGGGGACACATTTTTAAAATTCTTGAATATTTTTGTAAGTTTGCAGAAACGGAGTTTAATCTGCTAATTAACATGTAATCCTTGAGTGATTGCCATTTTATCTTACTTACTCAAAGGTTTTGTTACTTCTCTTCTTTGAACCCGGAAGTGTAATTGAGAGTATGTACACGTCTCAAAATGGAGAGTTATATACGGATTTAATTATACTGAGCAGAGAATCCATTTAGCAAATTATATACTTTTAAGGTACAGTTTTCAGTCATGAAGACTAAACACTGGAAGTAACATGTAGCTTTAGTTGTAAATAAACATTTTTAGATATGTTTGCAAGAGAACTCAAGACCCCGTTCTATATCTCTTCGGTGTCCCGCTGGTACACATAGCGTATCCATTACTGTGCTCAGATTCGTGTGGAATGAAGGAGTTCTAGGCAGCAGGAAGTCTAACACATTTTAACAGCAATAGATCTTTAAAAACACTTCTAATTGTAACTTCTTCATTTTGTAGTAAGGAACAGACCCAGAAGTATAGGTGACTTAGCTGTGCAGTGTTTTATCCAAGTGTTTTCTGTCCTGTAGATTGTCTCTTCTTTCTTTTGTTATCTGAGGTGTTTTTTGTTTTTGTTTTTGTTTTTTAATTTTCTTTTAGCATCTTTTCTAGGGAGAAGTGGGAGGATTGTAACGCTAATGACTTGGACTCTCTAGTAATTCATTTTACAGCCAGATGGGAAAAATTGAATCCAAAGAACAGTTTAGAGTATTTATTATTTTTCTTTCATTAAGATTGTCTATGTTAGATAACAGTCGTGACCTATTGCAAGGTAACCATAGAGTCTGGAAACAGGTATATTTAACAGATGGTTTATTGGTATTATATTACAGTATCTTAGTGGTCCAAAGTGTGGTCCATGGAACATTTGGGGTACCTGAGACACTTCTAAGGGGTCTGTGAAGTTCAAACTCTATTCATAATAATTCTGAGGGGTTAGTTGTGTTCCCAGTATTTGACATTTGTATTGATGGCACAAAAACAATGGCAAGTAAAAACTCGGTAGCGCCATAGCACAGACTAAGGCCATGACACCAACTGTCCTAGTCATGTAATAGTCACTATATTTCTTATACCACTTTCAGTTTTACTTGTGAATAGTCTTGATTGTTTTTCTTCTGAATATTCTTTTTCTAATTTTTTTTATTGAGGTATAATTGATATTTAACATTGATTTCAGGTGTACAACATAATGCTTTGATACTTGTATGCACTGGGAAATGATCATAGTAAATGTAGTTCGTGTCCATCCCCACACAAAGCTAACTTGTAGGATTTACTCTCTTGATAACTTTGAAGTACGAACTACAATATTATTGACAGTAGTCACCATGCTGTACCTTACGTCCCCATGACTTATGTATATATTCTTACAAATATTCTTGATGAAACAGTAAAGATATTTAACTTTATTAAATCTTGACCCTTACATAATGTTTTCTTAACTTGCTGTGTATTCAGATAAGGTATACATCACGTGGTTCTGATGCATATTGAAGTATGGTAGGTAGCTTCCAGAAAATCAGTTTGTGTGGTTAAATTGTGGAATGAACCAGCCACTTGTTTTATGGAACGCCATTTTTCCTTAAGACTGATAAACCATGGTTATTCAGATTTGGATATTTGGCACACATTTTCTCAAAAATGAAATAATTGAAGTCTGTCACTTTAAGGAAAATAACTGATAAAATTCACACTTCCAAAACAAATATTAGAATTTTGGAAAATTTATTGACTCCATCATGAACTCGACAGCTTTACATTACTTTTTGATAAGATGAGCAGTGATAGTTTTTGATTTTATATAAGGAAATTGTTAACATTTGGAAGATTTGTATCAGATATTTTCCCAAATGATACAAAAATGGTAAAAGATTCATTTAAAGTGCAAGATAGATTAGTAGATGTTACTTCAGAGAGTGCAAAGGAGTTCATTGATAGGATTTCAAATTCCATTTTGTAGCTAATCTTTAGGAAATTATCACTGTCGTTTTGGCTGTGATGTCAAGGAAAATATTCACAAGTATCTGAAGAAACTTTTCAGATTCTCCTAGTTTGTTTAGCTAGGTGTCTATGAGAGCAGTTTTTTTCATACACTTTTACATAAACGACATATTACAGGAGATTGATCTTCTGTTAAGCCCAGTCATTGAAGGGATTTGCAAAAATGTTGTGACTCTTAAGTTCCTTTCGTTTTGGAAAATATAGTTCTTTATCCTAAAAATGCTACTTACGTTAGTGTATAATGGCTTTATAGTTAATTTTAAAAGTATGAGATTTAAAAATTTTTCCATTTTAATTTCTGTATATACGTATTGTTAATATAGTACATTTAAACAGACTCTTTGGAGTTCTCGGTAACATTTCAGAGCGTAAATGAGTCCTGGACCTCCTGGCTGGCTCAGTCAGAAGAGCACGCGGTTCTTGATCTCAGGGTCCTTAGTTCAAGCCCCATGTTGGGCGGGGAGCCTAGTTTAAAAAAAAAAAAAAAAAAAAGAATGTAAATGAGACCGGGCTCCAGAGTTTAAGAACAGCTGTGATACATGATGTGTTCAGTATTACCTGTTTCCACATTTTATGGCCACCCTATAGATAGATTAGCCTTGCTTTAAAAAATAAATAAAAAGAACTCTTTCTGTATTTATTTTCAGCAATGTTTTTGGAACAGTGCCCGTGGGTGCTTCTGCACAGACACAGCCTGCTTCTTCGAGTGTGCCTGCTCCATTTGGAGGTATGTGTTTCTGGTGTATATACCGGATTTTCTAAAGAGCCTGTGTAGACTGTAGAACATTTTCTTACAGGTACTGGAAGGCAGTCAGAGCAACAATTTATTATCCAAAAGCTCTAGTTTTCTGATCTTCATAAATGTATGAACAAATATTTTAAATGACTGAATACAAATATGTTAGGATTTCATAGCATATTTTCTAATTTTTTAAAGCTACGCCTTCCACAAATCCATTTGTTGCTGCTGCTGGTCCTTCTGTGGCATCTTCTACAAATCCATTTCAGACCAATGCCAGAGGAGCAACAGGTAAGAAATAAATATAGATTATAGAACAGAAAGCTTTGGAAAAGTTATTTATTACAAAGACATCATGGGAAGAACATCAGAAAATAAAGTTCTTCTTTGTTACTGTAGTGAATGGGAGTGGGTGGAAGAGTTTGTCCATAAAGACATACACTAGCTGGGGGCGCCTGGGTGGCTCAGTCGGTTGAGCGTCTGACTTCGGCTTAGGTCATGATCTAGCGGTTTGCCGGTTCGAGTCCCGCGTGGGGCTCTGCTGACAGCTCAGAGCCTGGAGCCTGCTTCGGATTCTATGTCTTCCTCTCTCTCTGCCGCACCCTCACTCACGTTGTCTCTCTCTGTCTCTCAAAAATAAATAAATGTGAAAACATTAAAAAAAAAAAAAAAAGACCTAAGCTAGCTGAAAGGTTATAAAATCCTGGACTTCTAATATTTGGGAGGAACCCTAGAAATTCTCTAGCGCCCCCTGGTCCCCATTCCCTGCTTTCATTCTTCAGGTGAGGAAGCCCAAGTGTGGAGGCGAGGCCTCCTTAGAGCCCTGCGCCCTGCAGCCACTTTGTGACCAAGGTGGGACTTTGAACACCGAAATTCTGACTTATTTGGTGATCGGGTTTTGGAATTACTGGTTACTACTCATTCAGTCTTAATAGAAAAAACTTACGAGAAGTTTTTTTGTTTCTTATTTTCCTCTCCACAAGACGGCAAGGAAGGAATGAGCTTTGTTACATGAGGTCTTAAAAATCACATCTTTTCCAGTGCTTATCTCTTTTAGAGTGTTCACATTTTTTAACTTACACAAACGTGATTTGATTTAGGGAATGGTATTTTAATATTTTCTCTTGATAATTTTTTAATCCTCTTTATTCCTTCCCTTTTTTTTGTTTTTGGTTCATACTGCAAGCCAGCCACATATTTTTTTGCATTGAGCCTCTTTGATTTTTGTCTTATCAACCTGAACACCAGAACTGTTTGCCAGTACCTTGGAGCATCAGCAAGTGTGTGTGGAGTTGCTGGATACCCAGTAAACCTCAAGTTGGCCAGCTCTGTTTTTGTGTATGTGTCCCGGTACATTTAGAACTAAAGCTTTCAGCGTATGGCATATATTGGTGTGGAATCTGGAAAGAGTAAGGTGCTTGTAACATGATTTGTGCCGTAAGAATTGGTATTTACTAGTAAATCTCTGTCATAGGCAAGAGTAAGAATTGTGGTATTAATGGAGTTTGAACTATAACTTTCCTTTTACATAAATGTCTTTAGTCATAATTTGTTGGTATCTCACATGATCGATGTTTAATAAGTATTTTCACAGATAATTTTTAAAAAATGGTTTGTGTTTGTTAGAATTCAAGTATACCTAATCAGTGATTGTTTTCGTTTCTATGTGTTTCAGACAAAAATATTCATCAGTTATGATACATGTAACATTTCCGTTTCTTAGCATGCTATTTTGACTTGGCGGAATGAATTTGTAAAATGTCTCATGTCACATAGGGATTTGTGCATTGTGTCGTTTAATCCTTTTAGCTCTCATCAAATAAATGTTTTAATCACTCCTTGACAGCTGAGGGAACTGAGGCTCAGAAAAGTTAAGTGTGGATATGTTTTGGGTACAGCCAGACTTGTGTTCAAATCCTGATTTAGTATTTACTTGCTGGGTGATCTTAAGATGCTTTTTATATATTAGTTGTGTGATGAATAAAGATGATAGAAAGATGTACTAACATTTGTTGAGTGTTTAAAATTATTGACAAAATACTGTTGAAACATTTATAGCTATCATAACCCCATTTGACAACAGAAAGACGGAAATTCAAATTGTGCCTTGGCTAAAACTTGTATTGATCTAACTTCTCTGAGCCCTATTGTTGGCCTTCTCTATAGAATGTGAATAATATTCTCCTATTGGCAGGGTTTTTGTGAGAATTTAGATGATACAAATCATCTTTGCATGGTGTTTGCATTGTCCTGTATGGTAAATCGTTCCTATTATTTTCCTTTCATGACTACCTTGAAGTTAGTTATGTCATTAGAATTAAGGGCTTTTTATTTTTTATTTTTTTGCTTATTTTATGTAGAGTATGAAAGTCCTTTAAAGTTAAGGTTCTATATAGGATGTACATTAATATAAAACATACAGTATATGTTCAGATAATATAAGATAATTTTAGTATTAGGCTAAGAAAAATTTATTGAAAGGTAAATCTGTGTCCATAAATTTTTATTTCAAGGTTAAAAAAAAATTTTTTTTTTTTTTTAAAGACCAGAGTCAGCCTTTATTTTTTTTTTTTAATATTTATTTATTTTTGAGAGAGAGAGACAGAGCATGAACGGGGGAGGGTCAGAGAGAGGGAGACACAGAATCCGAACCAGGCTCCAGGCTCTGAGCTGTCAGCACAGAGCCCGATGCGGGGCTCGAACTCACGGACCGTGAGATCGTGACCTGGTTGAAGTCGGACGCTTAACCGACTGCGCCACCCAGGCGCCCCTAAAAATTTCTCTTTATAAACTGCTTTGATTTATCACATTGGTCACCTTCATTAAATTGTTATAGAATTGATGAAGAGTAAATGTTAGCTATATATGTTTCTATTGAAGTTGAAATATGACAAATACACTATGCTCACTATGCTCAGGAATTTCCAGTGTCAAAATTAATATTCTTTAGGGAATATTTCTTGTTGCTTTCAAATATATTGTTGAATTCCATTTGAAGTAGCTTTTGAAAGACGGATTGCATAATAAAAGGTAAAACACTTTACTGATAACATTTCTTTCTTAAAATATATATTTTAATAATTTTTCTTCTGCATCTATAAAGCTTTAATTTTCTTCTGCCATGTTACATAGAAACTTTCATTAGGATATCAGCCAGTATGGCCTAAGACCTTTTTTATTTTAGGATTGTGTAATAGCATTTTTTTAAAAAAAGAGGGCTCTTGAGACCTTAAATCTAACAGATTTAATACAGTTTTCAATTATTATGAAATTCTGTTAAAACTCCTCAATCTCTCCTTTGCTGTGTAATGAAAAGTCTTTCTTATTTCCCTGACTTCATTTTAATGAATGATTTTTTAAAAAAATAATTTTAGAGAGAGTGAGGGGAGAGGGGCAGAAGGAGAGAGAGAACCTTTACACAGGCTCTACATGCAGCTCCAGAGCCCGACGCAGGGCTCGATCCCACGATTCTGGGGCCATGACCTGGGCCAAACTCAAGAGTCGGATGCTCAACTGACTGAGCCACATGAATAAATGAACAAAGATTTTAAAGATTTTTTTACCCCCCAGGAGATAAACTTAATAGAGATGTAGAGCTGAAAATCACAGTAGCATCTAGGCTAGTGTCCTTGTTTTATTATCTAGGGGGAGACTGGTTTGATGGGTTTGCCTTAAGGGTTCAAAATTAATTAACGGCACAAATATTTGAACCTAGAACTCTTCTAAACTAGCATAGTTTCCACTGGTTCCACCCATTCCACTCATTAAGAATATACCTAAGAGAAAGGAAAATGTACGTCCACATAGAAACCGGCGCACAGATGTTCCGTTGCAGCATTATTCATAATAGCCAAAGGGAGGAAACAACTCAGAATGTCCATCAACTGATGAAGGGGTAGACCAGATGTGTTATAATCATACAATGGAATTTGCTTGATAGTAAAAAGTAATGAAATACTGACGAAAAATAATGAAGCAGACATGCTGCAACATCAGGCTAAAATAAAGGAAGCTAGTCACAAAATAATGGGTAACTTGTGATTCCTTATACATGGTGGTGCATCCAGAATGGGCATTCCAGCATTCCGGGGCTAGAACTTGAGAGGGCATCGTTGTTGCAGGCTGAGGCAGCAGCAATTAATATTGGTTCACAGTCACTGTTGACTAAAGGTCAGTTTTTATCAGAGTGTATTTTGTACAGCATGTCTCTCGAGATGTTATCAAATACTTCATGGGAAAGGGTTCTATGCTCAGATATACATGGGAAATGCTGGTATAAACAACTTAACCGGCATTTTATTGTAGAACTTCTCAAGAGACTTAACGTGCTGTACGAAAGGAGATAAACATAAAGTGACCTACCTTATTTATTATAGAATCCTTCCCCCGAATTACCTCTTTGTTGAATTCATAACACAGTACTGGTGTATCTTTTAAGTACACATCTTTGAAAGTGATTTCAAGTAAAATACATTCATTGAATATTTACATCATTTTAAAATTTTTATTGTTAAATTTATTTTTACTGCAGCTTTGTAAATAAAGTAGGTATTGTTATCCCTCTACCTGTACCCTCTATTTGCAAATGAGGAAACTGAAGCCTGTAGAGGTTACATAATCTCTTGTAGTTAGAAAATGACAGAACCAAGACTCACAACCACTCTTCTCTCCCAATTGCTCTGTTTCCCCAAATTTAATTGGTAAAGTTTGCTAATGTAAAAAGCATACATAGATGGACCTGTATTTTAGAAACAATTCCACTCCAGAAGGTTAAAACAAACAAAAAGTTTCTAGTACTTAACAACCTAGCTTGTTTTCTGTTCATTACGTTTATTTGTATGTAACCTCTCTGGCCTCAGTTATGCCAGGTAAGATTTGCAGAAGATGCACTTCTCTCATCTCTCTTTTCAGCCATTAACATTTTCAATTGAAAGTTGCACTTACCTTTCTAATGAACTGCATTGAATAATTTCTCCCTTTCATAATACATGGTTCGCTTGAGTTATCTTTATGTATTTTTAGTTAGTGTACAGAGTTGTAAAGAAAACAGTCAAAGATCATCCAGGTGCTGTCTGCAAGATCCGACTTTCTAGAGGCAAAAGGTAGATTCTAGATCATTTTAGATGATCCTGCGAATAGCAATTTGGGGTGTAATTCGTGAGACCTACAAAGCCTTGTTATGGACACAGTTGTATCTTGATACGAAAAATACGTTAGCATTTATTTAAAAGTGGATTTCATAAATTTTTTTTCATTTGATATTTATTTTTCTGGTATTTATTATTGGCGATCTCCCTTTTACTTCAAACAGGTTAAATATTACAGTGTCGTGAATATAGTTGAAATTAAAAAAACTCTTGGTGGATATGTTTTTATATGTATTCTTATGCTGCCTACTTTGTAACAGTGTATTCTAATTTTAAAAGTTTTTAATGAAACAGATTTGTTTTGACAATAGTTAACCATAAGTTAATTGACATTGGTCTCTCTATGGCTTTCCGTAAGGCCTTTCTGGAGCAATGCATTCTCAAGTGTTCCCTCACGCTCATTTTGGTAGGTGGCCACAACTAATACCTAGATTTGTGTGGCAATCTGTCTACCTGCTTGTGGAAGCTTCTGCTAGTGTTCTGGATCCCTGCATGTGGAATTGAGTTTTTTCCATGTTTTAAAATGGAGTGGGCATGGATGTGTGGCATCGGGGTTACATTATATTTAAAGTTACATGAAAATTGTGGTGATTTGTTTTTAACGCTGAAAAGCATTGTTGCTTACCTCCATGGTCACATTAGAATGTTAATAGCTTTTTTGATTCTTTTTCTTGAGTTTGATTTCATAGTACTTTGACACCTTTTCGACACACCAAACCATTTTACCACATTATTCCATGGAGTTTGGTTTTGCTTAACTGTATACAAGTTGCGCTTTTTAGTGCTTTCTTAAAAGTGATTTGTCAAAGTTCGTCAGTGCGTTGTTGTCTGTTATGAAACCCTTCTGTTTCCCTTGCAGTGTGCTTATTATTCTTTACTTCACTTGCTTCCTAGTGGCTTGTTTTTCCTTTTTGTCATCAATAGTAATTTCAAGAAATTTGGCATTCTAATTAGGTTCATTGAGAAAAATTGCCTTGATATAAACAATAGGATTATGAAGATTACTTTGGGCAGTATCTGTAACATGACTCTCAGGTTTTTTTCAATAAAATCTAAGTCTATGTGACATTTTTAGTTATTAATTCCTATGCCTTAAATCAGAGGTCAAATTGGTAAAATTTTTTATATCAGGAAATTCAGTGAATTGCCACGTTTTTGATAGCATCATGCCAACACTATTTCACTGTTGTAATTACTAATAATCCGTATTAAAAGCACCATTATTGGCTCTTACTTTACTGAGACTTTTTCTAGGACATTATTCAGAAGGTTCTGTTTTTAATCTTCACTAGTAGTAAGTAATAAATTGTTTTACTACTACATGTGTTTCTGTGATGCAGATTCGATTATAAGTAATTTATAAGTGGGGGAAGGATGGCAGCATTACCACATATGTACTGGTTGTTCACACATGGATTTCAGTGCGGTATTGATCACAGTGCTCATTCACCCTACATCCATCTTTTCTAAGAATGCTTATTTCACTTCCTTTTCAGTCTTTGTGCATTTTGCCCCAATTTCTTTAACTCAGCAGTCCTAACCTTAAACCCCGTATCCAGAGCAGTCTGTTTATCTTCCAAACAAGAAATGGGTATCCATATATATTTCTTTTGGAATTGATGTATTGGGAACCTCACATATTCTTTTAATTTTGTGGGTAGTTTTATTAGAGAAACCCCTCCCCCTCCTACCCGTTTTGGGCTCTGGTTACAAAGCTGCATAGGTTTTGAGTGGCCTGCTTCTAACCCCATTTCTCTTATAAGTCTTGTTAATTTTGGTGAACTATTTTTTAGAGGTCTAAAAAAATTTTTTCAGAACATACTTTATTACATTATAGTAGACAGTTCAGTGGACAAAACTAAATTTTGGGCCATTTTACGTATATAGCAAAATGAAACTAAAAAATGTATGCTAGGATACATGTGAATTGCATGATGATTAAAAGTTGACTGCTATTTATTTAGACTTGAACTTTCTATAATTATTTTGAGAAGTTTTCTTGTGATTTCAAATGATAGTTTTATTCTTTGTTGGGTTTCAGGAGAACAAAATGTTATAGATTGTGTTCAACTGTAGAGTGCTAAAGCTTACTGCTAACTTTGTTAAGAGTTTTGGAATTTGAAATGCCTTTAATGTGCATCTTAATATTTTTCGAGGCAAATTATTCTGTAATATGTGGTATGAGAAACAAAGCCTGCTCTGTTGTGTAGAAATGATCAGCCCTTGCTTTCTCTGTCAGCTGCGACCTTTGGCACCGCGTCCATGAGCATGCCTGCGGGGTTCGGGACTCCTGCGCCCTACAGTCTTCCCACCAGCTTTAGTGGCAGCTTCCAGCAGCCTGCCTTCCCGGCCCAAGCAGCTTTCCCTCAGCAGACAGCGTTTTCTCAACAGCCCAATGGTAAGATCCAGCACTCGACTAGCTGTAAGTCCACCTCAGATGTCCTCCGTGTATCGTGACGCTGTATGTTTGGACAAAGAGGCTCGTCTAAAGAATGCCGTGGTATTGGCATTGTCTGCTAACGTTTACTACGCGAATATAGACGCCCTTGGTGATTTGGGCCTTGGAAAGTGGAGTGATTTGGTGAGATCTTGTAACCAGGTTATAGATTTAGGAGAAATCAGAGACTCTCTAAAGACTACCCCTTCTTCTCAGAATCCCCAGTGTCTGTCTTAATAGTATATCTATGTTCTGATGTTCCTCTTGATTTTAAAAGACCTTGAGTGTTTTTGTTTTGCGTGTGTATTTTTTGTATAAATTATTTATTTTGGTGTTGTAGACCAAATTTCCAATTAGGTAACTATAGAGTTTGTTACTTGTTTTCAGGAACTTTCAGTAGAGACCAGGGTTGTTTTTTTTACCCATTAAGTTCATTTGCTAAAGTTTGAAAATCCGTAGATTTGAAGATTATTCTTAAATTATAACTGTGTGTTTTCTTTTTTGAAGTCAGGTAAAAATTGGGTCCGGGTCCATGGCAGAGCCATAATGATAAAATATTTCCTAAGGAATACTGCGCTGTTCACACGAAACCATTGTGTTGCACTCAGAGCCCGTCTCAGATAGTCCGTCCCAGGCTCATCTATTAACTCCATCCTTTGAAATGCCAGCAGTTGACGTAGCTGAGAAAGATTAGAATTAACCATTTCTGAGGAGCTGTGTGAAAGCTCTTTTGAGATGTGCCACAGGAAGTTCTGTCTCTGGTATTTGAAAGAGCATGAGACTCAACAATTTCATATTGGTACTTTACTATTGCCCTGGTGGGAATTCCTCTGAAACTCCTTCTGAAGTTTTACAAGTTACCAGATTGTCTCTTAAAGGTATGGCTTATAATTGGTGGTTCTGTTTTAACAAGGTGCAGGTTTTGCAGCATTTGGACAAAGCAAGCCAGTGGTAACCCCTTTTGGTCAAGTTGCAGCTGCTGGAGTATCTAGTAATCCTTTTATGGTAAGTGAGACACAGTTTTAAGCACTTGCAGAAGTTGTGTATTATTTGCAGATTAGGAAAAGCAGGATGTGACTCTGCTAGATGCTGTTATTCTATTGATGTCATGTGATGAGATTTTACAAATTGAGACGGCTGTCATGCACGATCCTTTTGTGATTTAAAAGCCACACATTAATCAGTTGCAGATCAAAACATGGACAGTAAATAAGCTATTTTAGAACTTGAGACTTGTCTGCTTTCTTGTCAACATAACATTTTATGAGTGGCTGTAGGTTTAGTGAACAGTATGAAAAGGGCTTGAAGTCGGAGGTTTGGTTTGAATCATAAATGCATTTTCTTAAGGGCCACGTCCTTTCTGAGAATCTGTTATGAGAGTTATATGAAGTAATGGGTATTAAAGACCACCTAATAGTTTTATTATAATATGTTGCTGATAACAATAATGAATAAATGTAATTGCCAGTAGTTATAAAGGAATTTCTAATGTAAGTACTGTTTGTTTAAATCAGAGTTAATCAAATAAAGTTTATTTTCCTATTTTCTCCACATACACCACTCTTACATGTCTGTTTTGTCTTATGTTTTCCTTTAGACTGGTGCACCAACAGGACAGTTTCCAACGGGAAGCTCATCAACCAATCCTTTCTTATAGCCTTATATAGACACTTTACTGGAACGAACTTTTACGTGGTCACATTACATCTCTCCGCCTCTTGCACTGTTGTCTTGTTTCACTGATCTTAGCTTTAAACACAAGAGAAGTCTTTAAAAAGCCTGCATTGTGTATTAAACACCAGGTAATATGTGCAAAACAGAGGGCTCCAGTAACAACTTTTAACCTGTGAATTGGCAGAAAAAGGTAGCGGTATCATGTATATTAAAAATTGGCTAATATTAAGTTATTGCAGATACCACATTCATTATGCTGCAGTACTGTACATATTTTTCTTAGAAATTAGCTATTTGTGCATATCAGTATTTGTAACTTTAACACATTGTTATGTGAGAAATGTTACTGGGGAAATAGATCAGCCACTTTTAAGGTGCTGTCATATATCTTGGAATGAATGACCTAAAATCATTTTAACCATTGCTACTGGAAAGTTACAAAGTCAAAATTGGAAGGTTTTATTCATTCTTGAATTTTTCCTTTCTAAGAGCTCTTCTATTTATACGTACCTAAATTCTTTAAAAATGTAGAGGGATACCTGTCTGCATAATAAAGCTGATCATGTTTTGCTACAGTTTGCAGGTGAAAAAAATAAATATTAGAAAATATGCTATCGTTTTTGTGTTCTTGCTGCAATGCCTTTACCAAAGTGGCCTTAAAATATGAGTAGTGAATTGAGAACATCTTGAATTCTTAAATTAGAATTGCAGAAGACTTCTAGTGACTAACTTTTATGTCTAAAAGAGAAAATTTTATAAAAAGGCCATGTAGAAAATTTATTAAAACTACTATGACTGCTATATTCAGGAATATGTCAGTGGTAAAGCATTTAAATGTAGCTTGTGAGATTCACCGTAATCCTTCTAATTTCTTTGCAACTTCTTAATTTTGTGAAAATTTGTATATATGAAGAATTTGCATGTATGTGTATTTACAAATTTTTTTAAGTATCTTGAATTCTCAGACTGCAGAAGTCCTATTTTAACTATTGATTTTTAAACAAAAATATTGTCTTTGAATGTATTGGAAGCAGACATGCATTAACTGTGACATGATTGCACCTCATTTTTTTTTTCCTTTGTTTGGATAAACTGATATTGTTAAAATAGGACATTTATTTATGTTCATATCTGGAGGGAAACAACCTGGAACCCAGTGTTACCTTAAAGTTATAGAATACTTTGTTTAAAAAGGCAACAATACTAATGTTAGGTTATATCTTTTTGTTAATACTCAAGACATGAACTTGTTTAAATATTTATGTACAGTGATGCCTCATTCATCAGGCCATAATCTAGAAGCCGCCTCAAAACCGAACACAGCTGAGAAACTTGGAATTTTAATTTTTCTTAAATGCCTTTGAGCAATGCACACGAGTCACAGAGTCTCTACGTGTTAGAGCTCATGCATTTGTTTTTATGCGAAAGTTTGATCATTTGATTTACCAGCCCATAGCATATTTAAGTTCAGAAGTGGTGGTTTGGAAGGATACAGAAAAGCTGTGGAAAACTGTTGACCATTTAGTATAAGGACAGCTAGGCCAGCCTAGAGGATGTCGCCGTATGACATCATCATCTGACAGTGGTCTGTCACTAGGACTCTGTGTCATCAAGAAAAGGTAACATCACATATACAAATATGTAATACGTGTTTGAAAAGTTTCATCTTACAATGAGTGAACGTTTCGGAAAAAGCTTTAGTATTAAAAGAAGTGAACGTCGGTTTCTTCAGACAATTTATTTGTGTCGAATACCTTTTCCAGTGGTAACTACATGAGTTGTTGCACTATCTTAAAGTCTGTGTGGTGTTTCAGACTTGCCACAGCATTGCTGTCCGTTGTGTCTCCAACCGAACGCGTGGTTGATGAGCAAGAAGGCTGGGAAATCCCGGCCCCTTTTTGAACAGTATGCCTCTTCTCTTAGAATCGAGTGAATGTGGCAGAGTCTAGGTGTGTGCGTGGGGGTGTATACTTGGAATACCTACAGTTCGGGGTCTCCCTCCAGCCCCCCTTTCATGGAGGGAATACTTAGGAAATGTCTTTGAATTTCTATGCTTTAGATTGTATTGGGTCCCAGGCAATTCATATGTACAAAGTTATGCTATATAATTGTAGGCCATTACCAAAATAACCTACCAGGCTTTCCATCTGCGAAATAAGTAAATTAAACAGTTGTTATTAAAATAATTTTAAAGACTGTTTTTTTTTTCTGGGTAAATCTTGAAGTTTGTAATGAAATGAGAACTCTCAGTTACTGACTTACTACTTTCAATGAGTGCTTATAAAACCCAAATGCTTAGCTTAAAAAGTGATCCAGCTTCAATGTGGATTTAAATCCACTTCTGTTAAACCTTCATATTCAGATTTGCTTTTGGTTTTTTGTAGACCATCAGCATTGTGTTGAGTGCTAAAGAGGAGAAAATCCTCGAAAGCGACGAGGCTGAAGACCTACACGTTTTCTGGCTTACTGGTTGAATCAGATCTTCTCTCCCGTCTTCGCTCTGGGAAGAACATTTTCTTTTAGGGTGCAAACATTGTCGATACGGTTTAAAGGCATATTTTATGCTCCTTTTTGTGACCACAGAGACGAGGCAATCACTTTGTTCCTTAAAACCATTCCTTTTGGCAGTTTGGAGAAGCGTGTCAGTGCTCTCCGCCTGTGGGTTGCCCTTGCTGCCAGGACATACCGTCTTCGGCACCGGTCCTAGAAGTTGGCACAATGGAGAGAAGAGGAACGGGCTGCCCCACCGTGGCAGGACTTACAGTTCCCAGACATTTTGGTCTCAGGACCATAACTCGTACAGTTTTCAGGACGCCCAAAGAGCTTTTGTTTATATAGCTTGTACCGATCAGAAATTACCGACCATATTAGAAGTTAATGCTGAGGCACCTAACAGACGTGTTCATTCATTTAAATATAACGATGATAAACCCATTGCATGTCAACATAAATGCCCTTTTTTAATAAAACATTGTTGTCTTCCAACAACAGTTAATGAATGAGAAGAACATTGTTTTATGTTTTGCCTATCTCTAATGCCTGGCTTAAGAAACCGTGAGATTCTCCTACTACTTGGCATTCCGGCTGTTTCTGTATCACGTGGCATGCGGGCGCTGGGAAACTCCACTGTGCACTTGGGAAGTCATGAGTGAAACAGACCTAGAATGTCTTCGTATTGTTAGGAAAATAGTTTTGACACTTGGCTCTTGGGGACTTTGCACAAGTCCTCCAACCACACTTGGAAAACCGCTGCGCTACACTTTTAAATTTCTGTAAGCATACCACTCCTTAAACTTCGAAGTGTTTTTCTTTGCGTGGTGGGAAAAATGGAAATTTGAGGTGAAACTGCAAACATTTTTAGTGTTGTTTTCTGGATTTTCTCCTATTTTTATTTGAAATCGTTTTAATAATGATGAAATTGGTGAATATTTCCTTGAAGGATATTACAAATTCAGATATTACAAGTTATGGATGTTTATTTTGGAATCATTTACTATTCTGACCACTTTGAAATTGGGTAATTGCTTTGGGGGACTATCAAATAGCTATTTAAAAAATGTTTTAAATACTTTGCTGAAGAAAAATTCAAAGTGAATAGTTTTTTATCTCTTATGTTTATAGTTAATAATTTAGCTATAGTTAAAGAATTTTTTTAATGAAAAGTGGATTCCTCTCCAGGAAGTGCACTGTTACAATTAAAGGAATATGTTTACTGATTAAGAAAGAGGTTTGCTATGGTTTTCCCACCGGTGGCTTTTTATACCTTGTTCGTTTTTAAAGAGAGCACTGGCTGTTGCTTCTCATTTAAACAAAATGTTTTAAAATTCGTTTGAAGTGACTTTTTAAAAGATGGTTTACAGTAATTAGTCACCACCAACTCTGGCTTTGTTGCTGCTGCTGTTGGCATGCTCTAAAACATGCTTTTTAAAAAAAAAAATTTTTTTTAATGTTTATTTTATTTTTGAGAGAGAGAGAGCGTGAGCAGGGGAGCAGCAGAGAGAGAGAGGGAGACACAGAATCTGAAGCAGCTCCAGGCTCTGAGCGGTCGGCACAGAGCCTGACGCAGGGCTCGAACTCAAGAACCGTGAGATCATGACCTGAGCTGAAGTCGGACACTTAACCGACTGAGCCACCCGGGCGCCCCTAAAACATGCTTTTTTGAGATAATACCCCATTTCCATTCCCAAGCAGGCCCTGTGCCTTGCTTCTTGCGCCCTCTTCGTCCACACGTTTATGCTCCTTCTCTGAACTGGTGTTCAGAATGACTCGCCTCATCTTTGGCCTCCACTGACAGTTTCAGACTCCTATCAAAAAATCAATCCCTAGGAGAGCGTTGTGAAGAAGATCCGTTTTTAAAACCGTAATGACTTCAAAGTAATGTGGTGGTTTATTGAGCCCTTTCAATGTATGAGATGCTCACTGAGTGCTCTTCGCGTATTACACGATCCTGGAAGTGGATGCAAGGAGCAGGGCACAGGGAGGGTAAGCTGATGACAGGGCTGTTGCTCTGGGGAGCAAATACTTCGTTGCTGGGTTGAAAGGCTGTCATATTTGTGTGTAAGTAGCCTTTAAAAAATTCTTTTGGAATTCCAAGAGCATGCGTTTCTACATCCCATATACCTAACACAGCTTCTTAATTTGGGTTGCATTCAGAATTTGATGAAATCAGCATACTTTACTCTCCAGGCTTTTTGGTAAACTTCACAAGTAAATTAATGAGGTAATTAGTGGAGCTTGTTTTAAACTGGAGAGGCATCTGAAGTATCACAGTGATTCCTATTTTGTGAAGCATTCCAACTTGGATGGCTAAGGTTTGTGCCCTGGACAGTTTTAACATTTCCTGTCTAAAGGATGCTGTTACTAAAATTTGTGTAAGATTAGCCTATCATACCGGATTCATCCTCGTTAGTTAATTTTTTCTTTGTGTGTTTTAGCACATTATAATATCCTCAGTTAAAATTTTGCAGTGTGTATTTGAGCAAGTGAATATGTGACCAAGATGGAATTCTTAGTGTTGTGCTGGTGAGACTTTTTCAAATCTCGTGAAAAAGGGCCCTGTTTTGTCCTGTTCACTGATATTTGTGGTGGAAATGGTCTCACTGTGGCTGCTCTCGCCTCTCCATCCGACGTCATAAGCTTGGAGTTGGGAGGCACACAGCCGGCGCCCAGGCCTTTGCGAGCCGGCTCCAGCTCGCCTCTCACAGCCCACAGCCCGTCTGGTAAATTTGCTGGTGATTGTAGCCAATATTTAAAGAGGCTTTTGCTTTCTATTGTTAATTCAGCAAGCCTGCGGACACTCGCCCTCGTGTAGAAATGTTCGGGGCACTGACGCATTTAATCTGGAAAGACCCAAGTACTGTGAAGCCTGGTATTGAAAAGTCCAGTCACTGTGCTGGTCGTAGGGCTGGTACGTTCATGGCGAAAGTCTGAATTCTGTCTGCAGTCCTGTTTTGTTTGACCAGCACAGTGTCCTCAAAACTTGGGTTTTGAGTAGTTTTAAAGGGCGTCCGTTCTTCCGGTCGTCACTAGCCTGCCCGCCCAATTTCCTTAGCCTCAAACGTTCAGATGTTGTTTGAAGACCTTTAAAGCGACGCATCTGTGTCTGCGTGAGAGGTGCTCATGACGCCGCTGCACCGGTCGGATTTTGGAGTCCCGTAGGCTTTGAATCGATGGTGTTATTTTCCAGGCAAGACTTTCACCAACCGCGCGTTTCTTTTCAAACTTGTGGCCTCTATGTACTCTGCTGATTTTATGCCCCTGGATCAGAATTCAACGTGTGTTTGAATGTACTTTTGAAATCTGTGCTTGTCCAACTCAAAGGGCTGTGTGTGGAGTTTAATGAAAAGAGAATGTTGTGACTCAGGCTTTTTGTAAAAAGGAAACATGATCCCGGATAAAATATTTAATGAAGTGATTAAAATGCCCATATTTTCGTTGGTTCTCTGGAATCTTGAGTAGGTGTCATCCTGGCTGCAGCTCAAGCAATGAGAGTTAAGATTTAAACTCTAAATTCTCAACATTTTCCCTCAATCTTGAGTGGAGAGCTAGAGGAGGCACACACCCAAGGAGCCTTCTGATTTTGACGAAATGACCATTAAGTGAAAGGCATTGAGGGAAACGACCGTTAAGTAAAAGGACTGTAAACTGATGCTGTATAGTCAATGTTTCATAGGATGCTGTGGGTACAATCAGGTTTTTTAAAGACTTTATCTTTTTTTATACGTTATGATACATGCTTGTGATTTTTAAAAATTATGCAATACATAAAGGGTATAAAGTGAGAAATTACGTCTCGTCTCCTTCCTCTGACTTCATTCCCACACCACAGGGGAATATAGTTTCTTGTATTTCTTGTATAGTCTTTGAGAAATGTTATTTACTTCATACGCCTCTATTTCCATACATACTCCTCTCGCTGTCCTCCCTTATTTTAAATGTACAATTTTGTAACTTGGCTCTTTTTATTTAACTTGGTTATCTTTACATATTAGCACCTCCAGCTCTAACTCATTATTTCGATGGCTTCAGGGTTTCATTATATGGATATCCCTTTTGAAGAGTATTTGTATAGATTTTTCTACTAAAAAATATTATTAAATTGAGACTATCCTTGTGCATATATGAAGATAAGTCTTGACTCTGCCTGACTGGAAACTCAATAAAACAGACCTCATTCAATGTTGAGGCTCGCCAGCTGTTTATTATCTTCTGCTTCCATTTAGGAAATTCTTCCATTTAAGGGGGTGGGGGCGGGGGAGAATCCTTCGGATTGACTATGTACAGATATTTGAAAAATCCTACGCTTTCTAACTGAACTTTGAAGGTTTTCTTTCAGTCAGTTCTTTCAGAGGTTGTGCAAGTTCATTCCCATTTTGCACCTTAAGTTTTCCATTGTCCCCACCCACGACCCTGAAAGTTTCTAAAAGTGTGCCTTGGGGCTATTTTCTGTTACTACTTGTTGGTATTGTACCTGTCCTTACACATTGGCTTAGAATGTACTTTATATTTAAGAAGAAATGGTGTGGGTTTAACTATAGCAAAATGTATTGTGGTACAACCACATATGTATTCTTCAAAATTAGTTCCCCTTTGCCTTAGAGAAGACTTGGGAAATAACTGAAGGTTCTGATTCTTACTCCTCAAAAGATTCGATTCCAGAGAATTTCTTAACGTCCACTTACCATTAGTCAAGACAGGACTTGCTTCCTGGAGTCCTTTGTTTATGAGGAATGGTATCAGCCTTGCTAACTGATGGTGAAGGGTACCGTAGCACCTTCAGGCTAAGCCTAGGGAGGGGAGAGGACTCCGTGAGACCTCTGAAAGACAGGAGACCCTTAACGCCAGCCAGCCAGGCCTCGGAAGGGGTGTGAATACGCTGACATTTATGAAGAGGAGTGCAGGAGATGATTTTAGGAGTTGGACGAAAACTCACAGGCTGATTTCGTCCCCATCTCTAAAACCCTCTGGTAGGTGAATTTGGTTAATAAGTTTCTGTTCATTGTGAAATATTGTTGGAAGAATTTTTTCAAAATAAAGACTCCTCAATTTGTGTACCATTTGAGAGTAGCCTCTTTAATTGCTGCATAGCATGAATTGTCTGCAAAGCAGCTCCTGCATCTACTTCCAGCTTAATCTTTTTATTAATGACACATTAGTGTTTCTCACTTTGTCTACACATTGCGAAACTTTTTTTTTTTAATGTTAGCTCACTTTTTTTAAGTTTATTTATTTTTGAGAGAGAGAGAGAGAGAGAGAGAGAGAATCCCAAGCAGGCTCTGCATTGCCAGCGTGGAGCCCCATGTGGGGCTCGAACCCACAGAGCGTGAGATCATGACCTGAGCCGAAACCCGAGTCAGACGCTTAACCGACTGAGCCACCCAATGCTTAACTGACGGAGGCCTGCGAAACATCTTTTTAAAGGCACGCGTTTTTTACTGAGTTTCCAATACTGATTTTTCCCCCCCAAAAGTCATTTTTTTTCTTGAGTCAC